GCCTGAATTGCTAGAGATTCACCTCCATGTTGGGGACTACCACCCCCCTTGGTTTGCAAATTCTTGACTTTCTTTATTTTTTTATTTTTGCTTGTTTAATTAATTTAATTAATTATTTTCACAAAATATAAAATATCATAAAAAAAATCAGAAAAGAGTTAAAACAATAAATAATTTTTATTTTAGTATTTTCTTAGATAAATTTGCATGTAATTAAACTTAGTTTTAATTTAGGTTGTAATTTTAATTCTTTTCATAATAAAATCCAAAAAACATAGAATTAGGTTTAATTAACAATTTTTCATCCTTTTTATTTTTCTTTTATAATAATTAAAATAACTAAATATTTATTTTCATAAATTAAATTGCATATAAAAATTAGGTGTAAATTAGGTTAAAATTCAACATTTTCTTAATAAATTAAAAGCCACTAGAATTAGGGTTTGCATCTTATTTTAATTTTAATTAATTCTTTTTCCTTAAAATCCTAAAAAATCATAAAAAACAAATTCTTTTTTTCTTTTAATTTTAATTAACTTCATCATTAATTTAATTTTTGCAAAAGGGTCCAACGCCCTCGTTTCGATTTAATTTCGCGTATTTATTTATTTTTATTTCTTTATAATACTCATGTATCTCTCCCGAAGCCATGTATTTAATTACTCGCACTCTTTAATTCTTTTATTTTCTTTTAATTTCTTTATTTTCCGTCAAATCGGGTCTTGGTTAATTTTGGCGATGTGGACCCGCGCCATTTGTAATAGCTTTAGATTTTATTTTCTCGCAACTTTTTAACTGTTAATCAAAAGCATGAAAGAATGTATGGACAAAATAAAAACAAGCGTAGAACACCCATGACATGACAAAAGACAAAAATAACTGAAAACGACACACAAATCACTCACCACCCCTAGGGTACGCCTCACTGTTGCCTTGCCTCGAAAGGTGATCGTCGAGTAGAGGATGTCTTAGTAAGTCCTCATGATCCGGGAACCTGGCATGAGGGTAGCTTCTAAGGTGTCTTCCCATTGCTCTGGTGATCACCATGCCCCGAACCTCGAATTGACCCGAACACCTCCAACGGTGGTGCTACCTACCTCTCAATGGTGGGATGGCACTACTTTAAAGGACATTTACACAGACGAATTCCTTAGGGTAGGTAGGTTCTCGTAGATACTTGCTCTAATTTCAAAGACAAATCAAAAATACTTTTCACACCGACACCTTTTCAAAAAGCTTTCGAAAGCAATTTTTCAAACACTCTTGAGGACCGATACAAGAGTCGAACTGGAATTTTCAAAGAAACTTTTTAAACCCACAGTTGAAAAGCAAACAAACCATTTTGAAAACACAATGAGCAAGTATCTAAGAGCCCATGGATAACCATGGATAGAAAGGGTGCTAACACCTTCCCTTTCTATAATCTACCTCCCGAACCGAGAGCAATCTCTTTAAGGAATTTTTCTGTGCTTTTGTCCTTTCCATTTGGAGAAAATAAAAGACGGTGGCGACTCTTGCTTCCGCGACATTTCGCGAACCAACGTTAAATAGTCAGTTCCAGATCCACCGATCACAACTGTTTTTTTACGTTTCGAAGTCATTTACTTGTCTTTTATGCAGTTTTATATGTCTTTACAATTGACCTTTATTCATGCAATTTAGTTTCGCGCACATTTATTTTGATTACACCTTTAGATCCTTAATAGAGAAATCGAAATAAGTTAAACACATACACAACATTCTAAATACCAACCATGAATACCAGTTCGATCATAAGAGTTACCCTAATGACCAACACGTCCTATGATCAATCTAGTCGATCCTGCGAGTTACCAGAGAAATTGAATAACAGTCAGTAAGTTTATTCGATAGTTTGGAGGACTAGCGGTTGTTTACCAGAAATCACTGTAAACACCGGGATGGCTTGTTTGTAGTGAGAGGGGGATTTGTAATAAGGATTTCAAGGTTTTTAGGATTCCTGAAAGAATTTGATATTCTGACAGCGTTGTGGCAAAGGTTAATTTTTTTCTCCTCCTTGTTTGTGTGAAAAGAATGGGATTATATAATAGAAATTAGAGAGCAAAAAATGGGCTTTAAATGTGTAATTGAGCCTCAAATGTCCACTTGAGTCTGTCACATTCTAGGCAAAATCATAGGGGCTTAAGTGCAATTTTTGAAGTTGAAATATGAAAACAAAATGTAGCCAACATCGAGAACTAACTCATGTCCGAAAATGGGCTCAATCGGATAAACGGTGAATTAGTTATGAATTTTTGAAATTTCAGCTCAGACAAACTTATTTTGGGCTCCAGTGTCGACTCTGACACGTTCTTCAATAAAAAACTGGTATTGATCGGAGCATAATTCGGTCTCTACTTTTGAAGCAAAGTTGTAGATCTCTGAGTCAGTGACCTTGTGTAAAAAGATGGGCCCAATCCGATAAAAGTTGACCGAGTTATGAATTTTTGAAGTTTCGACCCAGATAAAATAATATTCAGCATTCAGGATTTTCGGCGCGTCACGCGTACTCTGAGCAAAAAATAAAGACCATTTTGGATATCGTTTGAACTCGATACCTTCTGTGAAAACTTAGCCAACTCAATTTATGAAATTTTGGCGCTGGAACCAGCTTGATACGATGAAAATCGACCAAGTTATGATTTTCTGAACATGACGCAATTAAATTTCTGTCACAAATTTTCTGTACGAAAATACTTAATAAATCTGCATTTTTGAAGACCTTCTGATCGAAATTGACTTCCAGCCGTGAGAGATGAAAACATAGATGACGTTAATACGGAATTTTAGCCACTGGAACGGGTTCAAAACGAGCCGCGATCTTCAAGTTATGAATTTTTTAACGCGTAAAAACTGCACTTTCAGCACACTTTTTCACCATATTTCTTCGAGAAAACTCACACATTCGGATACCTTTTTTAAAGAATTGACTCTTGAGCCGAACCTGAATTTGAGAATATGTTATCAGAGATATCTTGGCGAAAGAACACCTGAATATGACGCGCCGGGTTGGACTTGTGAATCTTTGAACCCCGAATCGTTGCAAAACGGCGAACCGATCTTCAACACAGAAAATACTCTGAGAATATCCATTGACGAAATAAACGTCACTTGTAACCTGAAGAAGCTTGATAAATATACCTTTATTTCATAACCATAAAACCAATAATATACGTGTATGAAAAGAGGGAAAATTTTGGGGTACAACACTTTGATCTTTGAGTTTTGAGGAAATAAATATGGGGAGAGCAGTTTCCCACAGATGGTGTCACTGATTTTACCGGTTGATCAGAATATGCAAAGCGGTCGAATGATGATCTGTAGTCGGGCTGTGATGTCAAGGAGGAAAAAAAGGGTTGTACGTGCAAGGCACTCTGACGATCAAGTAAGAGTGAGAACAAAGAGATACAAGCAAAGTGTTAAGATATTGGTAGTGAATAATGAATATTTGATATCTGGCCCTCACAAGTGTGAGAGCATATAATATACCCCTGGCGTATGACTATTGGTTCCTGTTTTTGCGCTTGGATATGTGGGTTCACAAAATCAGGTAACTGTCAGGACTTGGTCAAACCGAGAAGATATGCTCGTAACTAGTCGTTGGTTATGAGGAGGAGGCAAGTTACAGGCATCTCTCTGGTCGGTTCCTAGTGACCTGTACGACTTGATGTCGGGCAGACTGAGGGGTACTCATCGATCATCCTAGGCCAGTGCTGGCTCAGGAGGGTAAATGATCGATATTTCCTGACGGGGAGCGGGGCGGTTCGGGCCATGGACGTGCAGGCCTTACCGAAAGAAAGGGTTAGACTGAGTCCATTCTAGATGTCGGGTCAGTCCAGAACATAATTCAACATTCTTTAAATTCGTTTTACATACTGATCACCAAAGTTAGTGATTGAGAGAAAATGAGAGAGGTTCTCATATTTAGGAGGAGTCTTAAATAGAAAGTCACATGTAGTATTAAGAAGAGAGACATTAACAAAGGTTGTTAATCTAAGACTATTTATACTAATACTATTGAGAGTGAATTTCCTTTCTTGGGTTAGAAGTCCCCCCAAATATAGGTGACGTTGCACCGAACTAGGTTAATAATAATTCTTTGTGTTCTTTATTGCTTTATGATTTATTTAGTATCTATTAATCTGTTATAAGAATGTTATACACATCGTCACAAACATTGTGTCTAACATCTTTCATACGAATAACAAAATTTCACTCATGAAAGCACTTCGCTCATACACTACTCATCTTTGAGTGGTTATATATATGCTTGATTTCTTGATATACTTATGAAAGCCCTTTCCAATTATACAACTCATCTTTGGGAGACCGTGTACATGTTAAGTTTCTTGACATACTTTATGAAAACACTCCACCCTTACATGGCTTATGCTTGGGGCGTCGTGTACATTGATTTATTAATATGCCTTATGAAATCACTTTGCTGAAAACACTTCACCCTTACCAAAGTCATGTTTAAAAAGTCAAATACATGTCTAATTTCTTGATATATCTTATGAAAATACTTCACCCTTACACTACTCATACTTGAAAGAATGTGTGCGTGTGTGGTTTCTTGTTATAAATTTTAACATAAAAATCAAATATATTTTTGTGAAAGATACTTTTAAAAGTAAAAAAACTAATAATTTTTGATTAAACGTTGTTTTCTACAAAAATATATTTTCAACAAGTTATATCAACAAGGTAAAACATGGTTAAAAAATGTATAAAAAACCAATTTTAATAAAAAAAATAAAAAAAATGACATACTTTTCAGAAATTTAACTGTTTATTGAGCAAGAAACAATCAAGGGCGAAGAAACGGCTGAAAAACGCTTCGCTATTTCACTATAGTCCCAAAAACTGAAGAACGACGCATCATTTTCTGGGATCATCAAAACACGCAACAGTATTAGAAATCGCGAAAGATCAAAAGTTAAAGGCATTGCAAATTTCACCGCGTCCGTGAAGATCGAAACATGGACGACGAATTGCTCGAGTTGCAGAGACAGTTCGAGTTCGCTCAACAAGCGAAGTCCAGTATTCGATTATCCGATCGAAACGTCATTGAATTAGTCCAGAAATTGCAGCAACTTCAAGTCATCGATTTCGAGCTTCTTCACACTGCTTCCGGAAAAGAGTACATCACTCTCGTACGCTCTTTGCTTCGTCTTTTATTATTTTTTGCAATTAGGTTTAACGGATTTGATTCTTGATAATCGATTGTATTTTCTTGCTTTTAACCTAATTCATTGTGTTATAATTGATCTTAATCAAGTGTTTGTTTATACGGTCGATAGGATCAACTGAGAAATGAGATGGTGACTGAGGTGAAGAGATTAGGGCGAATTTCTGTGATTGATCTTGCTGATGTTACTGGAGTTGACTTGTACTATGTTGAGAAATTGGCTCAGAGTATTATAACTGATCACGGGGAATTGATGTTGACTCAAGGGGAAATCGTTACGGAATCTTACTGGGATTCGATTGCGGAAGAGATTAACGAGAGGCTTCAAGAATGTAGTCAGATTGCTTTGACGGAACTTGCTGCGCAATTGAATGTTGGTTTGGATTTGATTGCGTCTGTGTTGGAGCCGCGTCTTGGAACTATAGTGAGTTTTGTTTGTTTGTTTGTTTGTTTGTTTGTTTGTTTTGTTGTGTTGGTTTTGGTATGTTTTTGGAGTGGTAAGTGGAAATTGTGATTTGATAAATGATTGTTTTGAGAATAGGTTAAAGGAAGGCTTGAAGGTGGGCAGTTGTATACTCCTGCCTATGTTGCTCGTGTTAGTGCCATGGTTCGAGGTGCTGCTAGGGGCATTACAGTTCCGACAAATTTGACAGTGTTATGGAGCTCGTTGCAGAATTTACTGCAAGAAATGGATGGAGCCAGTGGTGTGGCTGTTGATGGATCTTTCTTCCAGTCTTTGTTTAATGGACTTGTGAGAGGTGAAATTTCAGGGTCTGTACGTGCTGGAGTGCATTGGACACCAGCTGTGAGTGACATGATTTGACATAGATTGGATATTTCTTTAATTGATGCCTGAATTTTATGGTTTTCATATTTGATTTAGGCATTTGGAGCTGTTCACTTCTTGTTACACATTATTGTTTAATTGTTTGATTGACAAAAATTGGGATAATTTCCAAATTCTTTTGCTATACTCCACCTCTAATTTATAACTCTATAATCCTTTTACTGTTAGTGTCTATAGGGGGCAGTGGCAGTACTAGTAGTCAACTGTTGTGGCATATGCATTGATGCCATTAACTTAGTTCCCATATTAATTATTTGAAGTTGTTTATTGTGTTTTTATGTCACATGATAGGTATTTGCTGTTGCTCAAAAGGAATCTGTGGATTCATTCTTTTCACAAGTATGAACTCTCTCTTCTATCGTTTTTCTCTTTTGCTTAAGATGCCAAACATTTCACCTAGTAATAATAGCATATGATCCATTGGTTTGAGCTAGATAACTGTCTTTATAGGCTTTGTTTGAATGTACTTGTTTACTGAACTGCTCCATTCATGTTGTGCTGCATTTGTGTGCTTTAGAATTCTTTTATCAGCTATGACATTCTGCAAAAACTTGGAATTCCTCAGCCCGTTCAATTCTTGCAGGTAACTAAGTTGTTCTTATGTTGATTCTATATCCAAATAATAACCATTTGGATCATATATAGATATTTGTGAAATAAATACTCTGTACTAAATGTTTTCATAATGAAGCCTAAGTTTGCACAATCTAATTTAGTCCCAGATATCCTGAAGGCAAACCTCTTGTTACAACATTTGTTCACCCATCAATGATTGAGATGCTAGATGCTGCTACTGAGGATGCTCTAGAACGTGGTAGCTGGTAAGACACTTAGCATAAGCCCCACCCCAAT